AAGTTATGTATGGGCATTCTTCTGTATTTCCAATGATTCACAAATATGGCCTATAGTTAGGCATAGAAAAAAGCTAGTATTTTATACAACTCTACAGTAAGAAAGATTCGAGTAAAGCCGTGTCCAAACTATCAAATTTTATTTAACAAAACATGTGACATTCATAAATTAGGTCACCCTCTATAAAGATGGTTGAAATAACAATAAAAAAATGTCATGATGACATCACATCATGAAAACATATAGGCACATCTTGACTATATGAGCATACAATAGTTTTTGAGGATAAAGCTTTAAATGCACTTTGAAATATGAAATGTTACACACATGCCTTGCACACGCTCCCTACACTGATTCTGACACCGCGCGTCAAACGAACTCAGGTGAAGGACCTTAGGTTTGACTGTCAACATTTAAAACGTCTTAATTATATTAATATTCAGAATCTTTTTTAATAAACTGACCGTTACTAGTGTAACCTTCTTTTTCGAATTATGGAATGCATTTTTGGTTGATTGAATAATTGGTAGGCCACATTAAAGAAAAAAGAAAAGAAAAAAAAAATAATTCGAGGCCCTTTTCGGCCACTTCTTATTTTTCCTTCTTTTTTTTTTAAAATTTAAAATTCCAAATGCCAAACATTCCTGTAGAGAAATCCAGTCATCTTCATTATGCAGTGAGTATTGATGTATGTCTGTTGTGGTTTTCTTTATGGAAAAAAAAAAGATAGAGGCTTGATCCCTGTATTTTTTTTATTGGAGACGAGAAACAACGTTTTGTTTTAATTTGGCCTTTAGATTATTAGGCCTCTGATTGTTAGCAAATAATATTACTGTATTTTTGTGTTTACTGCACTATAAGGCAGGTTCATACTAGAGTGTTGACCATTAACTGACCTCTGTATAAACTTGTGTGTCAGAAGGCCAAAGCTTACAGTAGATGTTAGAGAATCTATGGTCCAGGAAACATGCGCTTAAATCGTGATATTCCAAGCTTATTTAACCCGTCAACTCGCTAATCAATTGTCCTTCAACATTGTATTTATAGATTAATACCATACACATGAGAAAACCGACATAAACAGAGATTTGCGGTATTACTCCGACACTCTCTAAATAAAAAAAAAATCAAAATTTTTAAAAAAGTGTCTACACCGCAAAACAGATCAAATGATTCACTCCCCCTTGAAATTAAGTTTTATCTACAATATCAAAGTTCATCAAAAAGCGTCACATAAAATGGGATGGAACAAGAGTTTAACACGTTCAACTTTTTTGATACAATTTAATAATATGTGATATGACGTCATCGAACCCATATACTCTATGGACACACCACATTTTTTGTCACATAAAATTTGATAGTGTAGACAAAGGTTTAGACAAAAAAAATTAGTAAGCTTTAAAATTCAAACGGTTGAATACAACATCCGTGCGAATACAAAGACGAAAAAGCTCGCAAGAAATATGAACTAAATAGGCCTGATATCTTCCTGGAAGAACTGTTTGTGTAATAGCGTACGTACACGGACCACTAGGCCTCGACACTGAAATGTTATGAAAATCTCTCTGAATTACGGTACGAATTTTTCTCAATTGCGAACTTGGACGAACCACCTGGACGAACTACCTTCATAAACATTTGTTGAATAGCTTCTGTAAGCAGTTAGATCGATATAATACGTCATCAGAACATCATTATGTACTTGGTGATTGAAAATAGTGAACGGCCAATTTATTAACGATCGTGTCGGTCGTAGATCATTCATATTAATTTAACCATTGTCGTACTGTGCATCAAAATACGGTAAATTACTATGGAGTATAAGTAGGCCTATATGCCCATGTACAATCATATAATTATCGAAACATTTCAACGTGACCTATAAATCCTTTAAAGTTGGAAGACGATCGACCAAGAATAAGCGAGATACGCTCAAATGCGCATTTTAAAAAAAGACGTCATCGATAAAATTCAGTTTGTTGAATTCAGATGGCAATATGATGACGTCACAATGTCCGATCGACCATTATGAGCTAGAAAATCATGTGCTTTCAGAATATGTAATAAAAATTGGGGGTCACCTTTCATCCTAAAGAGCTGTAACTGTTTAAATTTAGGCCTGATTTTAGCAAAATTTCACTGTATATCGGCACAAATGCGCACAAAGTTCATTATGTTTGATGCGTACCTACGCCATTGTTATTGGCCATAAAGTGATTGAAAAGATCGGAAACTTGTAAAAACAATGTCTGGAACCCAAAATGTCACAAAAAACTGAATTTCTAGCTTCCGAACGTGCTGCGCGCGTAAAAATGCGCACGCGTAGTGGTAAATTTAAAAAACAATTGAAATGCTCAAAATGGCGTGTAACGTGCTCTAATTTAGTCAAAAAGTGATTTCGAATATTTTGAAATTTTGACGCACGCGTTACGAAGCACACGCGTAAAATTAGGGTACAGTACATTTAACATTGACCCGAAGTTAATGCTCACTTAATACGATTACAAAATTGCAATTGGTTAGGCTGATATGATCGATTATGTAAAAACGCAAAATTGCGCGTAGCTGACGTCACGCATGACTGGTCACTTTGAAAACCTTACCGTGATTATTCCAGGTGAAGCCAAAATGATCGATGAAATGACCGTATGCGTAAATCGTGGCAATTTTGAGATATCGTGCGAACAGAAATGGGGAGAAAGAAAAAAAAGAAGTTGATGATCCTGACAATTACAATAGGTGATCCGCTCGAGAAGCGGATCACCAATAAAATCCTGTCCACACTATCAAATAGTATTTGACAATACCATGTGACATGCCTAAATAAAGTCATGGTGACATCACGCCGTGATTATGTTTATAAAAGAAAATTTGATAGCCTGGACAGAGCTTAAGGGTGATTGGTTCGAATCCTAAGGTTGAAAATACGATTCTCAACAAATAATAATTAAACTAGAAATTGCAAATTGCAAGTGAAGTGCTGCGAAGTACAACTGCATAAAATATTCTTCGAACAAAATTATTTATGCGAGTCAAGTGAAAATAATGAATAATAAAAATATAACAAATAATATGAGCACGACCCATTGTCTATATTATTAGAACAGCGTTGGTACAGTAGTGTTTTGCTGCAGTGACATCTCTCTGCTGGCGATGGCTCGCTGCTGCTGGCGAATCGATCTGCGCATGTGTATAAAATGGTATTTATTTCCGCAAACACTATGCCAGTCTACAACAAGCGTCGCCTAAATGTAATAATTAGCACGTTGAAATAGGCTAGTAAATAAGTTTAACTGGGTTCGTAAATAATATTGTCCTCAAAATATTGTCGCTGAGACATGAGCCGATTAAACGTAGAAATAGGAAACCTAGAAATATAGTAAAAACGCTGAATAGTACTCCAGCGTCGCAACATGCCGACGTTGGTACGAG